TGGCCACAAAATCTTCTACACTTTGAGTTTTTAGCTGAATTTTTTTTTGCATGCAAAAAAAATACAAGGATCAGGTCTACCAAATTTAGGGCCAAAACTCTTTCTAAAAAATTATAAAAAATCTCAAAAAATAAAAAACGAGTCATCTTGCCATGAAACTTCACATGAAGGCTTAGGGGACCATGGTATGAATTTACAAGCCATAAAAATGGCATTTACATGGTAGAAATATGAAGATGTGCCTAAACCCACCTATCACCCGATCGTGGTGCACATGATGCTCGACCTAGGCTCAGGACACCCACGCGTGGTGCGCAGGTGTTGGGGAGTGTTCATATGAATTTAGGGACCACAAAAATGGCTTTAGCACTACAAAAACATGAAGATATCCCCAAACCCACCTACTATCCGATCGTGGTGCACAGGGTGCATGGCCCGGGCCCAAGTGCGGCCGCTTGGTGCACCACCTAGCACAGGCCGATGCTGTTCAAGAGAACTACCTGCACCAAGGTCGAAGCATGCACTGAGACCAAGGGCCAACATATCTCGATGGTGGTCGAGGCATGTGCATGTGTCATGGTTAGCAAGCGGGTCGGTAATCGAGCGACAGACGCGCATGTTGATCTAGCCCAGATTTTGACTTAGAGGCATTCAGTCATAATCCAATGCACGGTAGCTTCACGCCATTGGCTTTTCAACCAAGCGTGATGACCAATTGTGCAAATCAATAGTTCCTCTCGTACTAGGTTGAATTAGTATCACACTATCACCATCAGTAGGGTAAAACTAACCTATCTCACAACGATCTAAACCCAGCTCACATTCCCTATTGATGGGTGAACAATCCAACACTTGGTGAATTCTGCTTCACAATGATAGGAAGAGCCGACATCGAAGGATCAAAAAGTAACGTCACTATGAATGCTTAACTGCCACTAGCCAGTTATCCCTGTGGTAACTTTTTTGACACCTCTAGCTTCAAATCTCGAAGGTCTAAAGGATCGATAAGCCACACTTTCATGTTTCATATTCGTACTGGAAATCAGAATCAAACGATCTTTTACCTTTTTGTTTCATATGAGATTTTTGTTCTCGTTGAGCTCATCTTAAGACACTTGCATTATCTTTCAACAGATGTGCCACCCTAGCCAAACTCCCCACCTGACAATGTCTTTTGCCCGGATCAACCGACCGAGGTTGGCCTTGGGTCCAAAAGAAGGGGTTGTGCCCCACCTCTGATTCACGGAATAAGTAAAATAACGTTAAAGGTAGTGGTATTTCAATTTTTCCCGGGGGCTCCCACTTATCCTACACCTCTCAAGTCATTTCACAAAGTCAGACTAGAGTCAAGCTCAATAGGGTCTTCTTTCCTCGCTGATTCTGCCAGGACCGTTCCCTTGGCTGTGGTTTCACTAGATAGTAGACAAGGACAGTGGGAATCTTATTAATCCATTCATGTGCGTCACTAATTAGATGACGAGGCATTTGGTTACCTTAAGAGAGTCATAGTTACTCTTGCCATTTACCCATGCTTGGTTCAATTTCTTCACTTTGACATTCAGAGCACTGGGTAGAAATTACATTGCCTGAGCATCCGCAAGGACCATCTCAATGCTTTGTTTTAATTAAGCAGTTGGATTCCCCTTGTCCGTACCAATTTTGAGTTGACTGTTCATCACCCGGGAAAGGCCCCTGATGGAGCCATTCCTAGTCCGTCCCCCGACCAACATGCGACGACCCGTTCTTACCGCGAGAATAGCTCAGGTAGTGCACTAGTAGTCAACGGTTTCGAGATTGGGACCCCCGTGCCCAGCCCTCAGAGCAAATCTTTTTCTCGAGGTTACGGATCCATTTTGTCGACTTCATTTGCTACATTGTTCCATCGACCAGAGGCTATTCACCTTGGAGACCTGATGCGATTATGAGTACAACCAGGCACAGACGGCACTTGGTCCTCCAGATTTTCAGAGGCTGTTGGGGGTACACCAGACAGCACACAATGTGCGGTGCTCTTCTGGTCGCTAGACCCTACCTCCGATTGAGCTGTTTCTAGGGTGGGTGAGCTGTTAAATAGGAAAGATAACTTTTTTTGAGGCCCCCACCGATGTCTCTAGACTTCCTAACGTTACTATCATCCGTCGCGTTCGGATTCAAGAATTTTAACCCGAATCCCTTTCGAAGCTCGTGTGGGATGCACTGTAGGATGGGCTCTTAGGATCGACTAACCCATGTGCAAGTGCCGTTCACATGGAACTTTTCCCCTCTTCGACCTTCAAAGTCCTCATTTGAATATTTGCTACTACCACTAAGATCTGCATCGATGGCCATTCCGATCAGGCTCGTACTTCAATTTTTGTGATGACCGTCACACCCTCCTACTCATCGGAGCTTGGCCCTTGCCCTGATGGTCAGGTATAGGTCACGCGCTTAAGCGCCATCCATTTTCAGAGATAGTTGATTTGGTAGGTGAGTTGTTACACACTCCTTAGTGGATTTTGACTTCCATGACCACCGTTCTGCTGTCTTAATCGACCAACACCTTTTGTGGGTTTTGGGTTAGCGTGTAGTTGGGCACCGTAACTTGACTTTCGGTTCATCCCGTATCACCAGTTTAGCTTACCAAAAATGGCTCACTTAGAGCTCTCGATTTTGTGGGGCGGCTCAACGAAGCAACCGCATCGTCCTATCTATTTAAAGTTTGAAAATAGGTCGAGGGCATTACGCCCCCGATGCCTCTAATAATTGGCTTTACCCATTAAACTTGCTGGGGACTCCAGCTATCCTGAGGGAAACTTCAGAGGGAACCGGCCACTAGACGATTCAATTAGTCTTTCGCCCCTATACCCAAGTCAGACGAATGATTTGCACGTCAGTATCACTACGAGCCTCCACCAGAGTTTCCTCTGGCTTTGCCTCGCTCATTTTTTGGGTCCCGACAGGCATGCTCGCACTCGAACCCTTCTCAGAAGATCAAGGTTGGTTGATGGTGCACCCGTGAGGGATCCCGCCAATCAACTTCTTTGTGCTTTATGGTTTTCTTCACCCGTTGACTCGTACACATGTTAGACTCCTTGTTCCGTGTTTCAAGACGGGCTGAATGGGGAGCCCGTAGGCTGACACATGAAGTACGCAGGTGTAGAGGCACGTCGAGACAGCGTGTGCTGCATTCCATGATCACGGTGATGAGGTCTTCGTGGGCACATCGAAAGCTCGGGCTTGGGCCACTGTCGAAACCCGCATCGGTCCAAGCCCCAAACTGATTGGTAGATGAGCTCTCACCATTCCAC